CTGAACTTGCCGGCGCTCGGGGGGCAGCGCTGGCCGACGCCGCAGAGATCAGCTGGGGCCGAAGACCCGCGCTGGGGACATCGCTTCCCAAATCATCCGGATTTGTATTTCCTCACCTCTCGTCCCGTCCCCCCCGCCCTCCCCATTCTGCTTTCTGCTTGGCTTGGCTGATTTCACCCGCGAAGCCCCCTTCTCTGTGCCCCGTAGCGGAGGACTTCACCCGCGAAGCCCCCTTCTCTGTGCCCGCCTTCCCGTAGCGGAGGGGAGCTCAGCCGGCGCTACAGCTGCTGCGGGAGGAACGGAGGGTTTTCTGTTTCAGGCTGTGGGTGTTGCTGTGTGGCACAACTTCTGTAGCCCTGCCTTTAACTTTGTGATCGGTGCCTGCTTTATTTCCTCCTGCTGCAGAGGGAGGGCAGGGAGACTGGGAACGCACAGTGACACTGCTGCTACATTACGTGTTTAGGAAAGGGAGGGTTTTTTTAAGAGAAGGGTTCCTGCTGCCGAGAGGGGAGGAAGAGAGGAAAACTTCCTACCGACAGCCCCATTACGAAGCTGTTAGGGAAAAAATATACCTATCAGTTCCTGCCATGCCCTCTTCTGGGCAGGATTGCAGGCCGAGCCACTCGGCTCTCTCTGCATCTACCGGGTTCGGCGCTGCCCGACAGCCTTGGCTCCCCTTAGCCGAGCAGTGCGAGTGGGCGTGCGGAGTCTGCTGGCTCATGCCCTGTGCCCTCAGCGAGGTGGGGCAACCCTTGCCTTTAGGTGAATGTTTTGTACGTTCAGGGAGCGTGCGACATAAACAACTTCCTCTCCTTTACCTGAAATGTGGCTTAGCTTCAGCCTTGCTCTGCTGCTGAAGTTTCCACTGCAGGTTTTGTTGCTGAAAATGAGAGCTGTGATTTATGTTAGCCGAAGTTGTAAAAAGTCTAGAGGGGTCTGCACCCAGCTGGCTCTGTGTCTGTGGCAGGTGTCTTGCTCTTTTCCCATGTGTTTATGCGTCTGGGCACAGACCTTTGCCTTCCTTCTTGAGTTTTCCTCGGTTTGCATGCTGAAGAAAAGACTCTGGTTGCTCCAGAAACGATTGAAATACATTTGCAGAGTAAGGAAGGAGGAAAACTGAGATGGGTAGTTTGCAGAAGAAACAAGGAGAAACAAGTCAACTTTTCGAGAGTTTTGGGGTTTCCCATGTGTTTATGCGTCTGGGCACAGACCTTTGCCTTCCTTCTTGAGTTTTCCTCGGTTTGCATGCTGAAGAAAAGACTCTGGTTGCTCCAGAAACGATTGAAATACATTTGCAGAGTAAGGAAGGAGGAAAACTGAGATGGGTAGTTTGCAGAAGAAACAAGGAGAAACAAGTCAACTTTTCGAGAGTTTGGGGGGTTTTTTAATTATATTTTCCTATTTGAAATAAATTTGCACAGTTTGTTGTAAAAGTGAGAGACCTTCAGAAACTGGTTCAAAGTTCATCTAAACCAGAATGAATTGGGAGGTGTGAAAGAATGCTGCAGGGTTATTGTCAGGATGCGTTTGTGCAGATAACTAGCACAATTAAAAACCAAAGTAGAATACTGTCATGAGAGAAGGCACCTGGTGGCAGGATGGATGTGAAAGTGAAAGGGTATCCTGTAGCTGATGGGTGGCAAGGGTAGCTGTGCTCTTTTGTCTTTTCTTGCTAGTGAGTCTAAGGAAGCTCTTAACATTCATCAAATGAGCATGTGAGAACTCGAAAACTTTTCATTTCCTCCTTTGAAGATGGGCAACTCTTGAATAAGCATCGTACCCCCTAAAAAGTGCTTCATCTATTTCCAACGTGACATGTGTCAGTTAACATATGCTTTAAGGTATAAAGAATAGTAAATACTACTTTCCAATGAACTACGCAAATAGATTTGTTTTCTTAGATTATGTTTGACCAGGTAAAGTTTACTGAAATAGTTTAGTGCCTCCTTATCTTCTTAAAAAACTTTCACCTATCTGCTTTGTTTCTCAAGTGTTGATTTTTTTTTTTAAGACCTATTACTTAAAATACATTGTAACTGATCGGGGAGTGGAGTGGATTGCAGCTGGTTAGTGTATGAATTCAGCTGGAACACTGAAGAATGGCTCTGCTTTTAGAGTAGATAATACAGGAATGTTCTCTACAAATAAGTCTGTTTAAAAGGATGAAAAATTATCTAAAGTCTGTTTCATGTTCTCAGTCCTGCTGTCAGCTTTCCTGCAATTGCATCTGCACACTTCCAGTACGTGCTCTTTACTTCTGTGAAGACAAGAGATAGCAGCAGCAGAATGAGAGCGTAGCATAGTCACATGTGCTGCCAAGTAAACAAACAATTTCATATTTCTTCTGTTTTTCTCAGTTTAGGCCCACTTATAATGATAACAGGTAGAGAGTGTTGCGTAGAAATTTACGGACATGCTTGAAGCTGTGTAATTTCAGTTTCCACCTGAAGTGACAGTGTACTAAAGGTTTTGTCCGTTCTCTAAACAAATAAATAAAAAAGGGGGAAAACTGTTGATATAATATTTTAAAAAACATTTCCACAAACTTCATAATTAACCTTCATGTTGTTAATTGCATACAGCCTACTGGCTGCCTTCTACAGTTCATGGCTTTGGTTCATTTGTCTTTTAGCATGAGCAGCTCCAGCTCTCCAAATGAAAAACATCCTGCAAAGAGGGAAAATGCAGGGAAATGTTTATAGGGAGGATACTCAAAACATTTATTTTTGTGGAAAGAGAATGTTGAATGTTTAAAGATAAACAGATAAATAAAACCAACAACAGTGCAATTTTCCAGAGGTATAATATCTGTCGGAACTCTGGATACCACGTACGATGCTTGCGTGTCACTGTATTCATTGGTAAAGTAGTACACGCACATTTGTATTTTGTTACGGAAATGAAGCAAGGAAGCTGGAAGAATAATCAGTATGAAACCAATGGGCCTGTCTTCTCGTTTATATTGAAACAAGCAAAACCTTTAACCTGCCTCCTTTCCATACAACAAACAACTGGAATCTAGCTGAGGCGCATAACAGCATTGGCATGCAATCCTAAAATTTGGATGAAAAACTAAGTCTGGTTTATTTTGTACGCCTTTGCTAGAACTTGGAATATTTTACATTGCTGTTAAGTATACATGTGACATTAAATGAGTTGAAATATTATGCAGTAATCACAGATGATGATAATTGTAGATCCAAAATAGCTTGTAAAATAATAATAATAAAAAAATTGTTGCCAGAAGCTGAAATTACATAGTTGGTGACAGCTATTGTTCTCTGCTTTCAAATGGGTGGGCTGTTCTGTGTTGTATATTTTAAAATCTGTTGCTGTCTTAGCAAAATCTGAAGTAATTTAATATGAAGCTATTTTTATATTGTTGTAGATCATTGAGAAGAAATTGTAACTAAACATATTAAGACAGGTTTTTTTTCTTTTTTATGCAGGGGATTTGGGAAACAAGGATTTCAGTGCCAAGGTAAGCCACAAAAGCTTTGTTGGCTAGCGCACATTGTTGCATCTTACTCTGAAGGCAGCCAAAACTTGCCTGCAGCAAGAAGGAAGCAAGCCTGGAAAAACTAAGCAAGCATCTCTGCCTATGTAAATTCTAAAGGAAGACAATTATTCAGTTAAATAACTATTGATGTTTATATCATATACATTGAACAATCAAGTAATTGTTCATACTGTAATAACACAAAAAGTGTTGGGGTTTTTTTTAAATCTCGTCACAGTAAATGTCTAACTTTTCATGAAAATAATCTGTGCAATTTAGCTTTTGCAGAGACCACTTTTCACATCAGAAGCTCTTGTCTGTGTGGGCGTTCTGGAAAATGGATTCACTTTTTAGTCATATGGCTTCTTTTCATAACCCAAACTCCCTGTTTTTAACTTTCATATGCTGTATGTTTAGGAGGACCTTTGGTTTGAACTACATTTTCGGACAGGCAGCTTTTTTCTGTCTTATGCAATACTCAATTACAAAAAAATCCACCCCTACAAAATCGCCGATTTAATAAATTCTGCTAACCTTGAGAAATTGAAAGCTGCTGTAGTGCAAGATAACTATATATGTGAAAGTCAGAGCATGATATGCTGTATTCTATTGTTCTATATTTTTGCGAAACCCTTATCATTATTTAGCATTTAATCATAAAATAACCACACCCAACTATTGTTATTTTTTCCTATGTCATATGTTTACCTAATTAGGATGAGGCTTTTTGTTGTCCCTTCCTCTTCCCCCACCTTCTTCCCTATCGTTTCACCTGCAGATGTACATTGTGTACTCATTAGCTAGCCTTTTGGTTGTTTCTTTCATTACATTTTTTAATGGTTATTTGCTAATGCTTTAGAGCATATTTGACTATCCTGAATGTTGCTTTTACTTAGTAGTTGGCGAAATTATGGATTCTGTGGTATTTTTGTGAAAGTTGATGTTAGTTGGTACTTCTAGAAATTAAACCTCTGAGAAACTGAATGTAAAAGAATGATGCCTTTTAAAGATTTTGCAAGAAATATTTTTCTTTCTGCAAGTAGAAACTTGCAGACACACACATATAGTGGAAAAAGTTGCATGCCTTATTAAGGTAAGCATGCAACCGTGGTTTTACTATGAATCTTGTATACAAATTCCTCATGTCCCAACATGTTAGTACTAAATTCTGTAGATGTCCCCCAGTTTTTTGCTACTCATCGCATCCAGAGCGGTGCTATAGATCAATCTGTAGTCCTCAGTCGGTAGTGGAATGGCATTTCCTGAATCCCATTCAGGATAGCTCAGCGGTTCCTAGTTAAGGAATTATTTAGATGTTCATTAGAGATTTCCATTGGTATACAGAAAATAATTGGGGCTGCATTTAAATTATACAGTTATCTATCTTAAGCTTTGCAGTTTGTACGGTGTTGACTTTCTCCTGTCTTTCAGTCAGGCAGCTAGTGGTTCAAATTGGCCGCGATCCACTGATCTGAGCCACAGATCCGATTTGGCATGGCAGTTCATTTCCAGTATTTTATGTTCTGTGGCCAGAATTCCTTCTACCATCGTAATTCTAGTTAGCTAGGAATAGTTTTGGCTGATGAGGACTAATCTTTATAAAGCCAGCTAACAATTTGAATTCAGTCTCAACTTCCTTCCAAACGCCATGCATGAACACAACCACGAGTAAAAGCAGTTGATTTATTTTTAAAGGCTTCAGAAGTGATACTTCTCAGGAATCTAAGTATGTTCAAACCTGACTTTTGTATGCATCAGAGCAAGATTCTGCAGTTTTTCTTTGATGGAGACTGTTACATTCAGTGCTCTTGTCTGTATTCTTATACAGTCAAAATCTCTAAGAAATATTCAAATTTTAGGTAGTTTGTAGCAAGTTATTGTTGGTACACTAATAGGTTTAAGTAGTGGGGTTTTTTTGCTATCATTCATTAAATTTGATTGTAATAAAAATCAGAGAGTTCATACTCTTGGGATAATAGTCTTGAAAAACAAAACTTCCATGATAAAGTGAAGCAGCTGAGTCGAATTTTTTCTGTTCATCTTTCTGAAGCTTCCATCTAAAAGGTCACCAGCTAAAGCTCGAAAGGCAAATTAGTGATCAAAATTAGTGAGAACATGAAGAATTAAAAAAAAAAGTGTGAAACTAGAAGGTGGGTTGCAAAAAACCCCCTAGTTTCTTTAATTAGGTGACTACCTTTAGAGAAAAGAATGACAAATGAAGAATAAAATGGAAATTTCAGTATGACATGAAGGAAAGGAAAGAATATTACAGTGGCAGCTCCTAGTATAACGATAGTTCTTGGTCCGTCAGAGTTTCCATTATAAGAAACTGTCTTAGCTCTGTTTTCGAGAGTGTTGTAAAATCTCCTGCTAGACAGAAACTTGATGTCAGGCAGGTTTCAGAGTTGGGTGGTTTTATTATTTCCAAAGTTGTTTTAAATTCCTCTGGCCTTTGATACCAAAGGGAAGAGGAAAGGTCCATAATAGTAATGCATCAAACTCAAATGATGCTTCTACTCTAAGAAACTGCAATTATTCTATGAATATTTTCATTAGTAATTCTTTAGTTAAACGAAAGTCCTGACTTAGTGTTCATGCAGTATCAAACATTGCAGCTAACACAGTACGCTTTTATATATTTTTAAAACTTCCTTTAAAAAGTGTCACACAAAATGCAGTTCTAGTTTTATTTTTACGAGATGCCTTCAAAAGAAAGGATTTTTATTTTATGTTTAAATTTAAATTTTAATTTAAATTAAAACTTAATGCTATACTGTAATGATCTTTTTTTTTGGATTGGACCATTAATACCTTTTTTCGTTGGGCTTGCTTTGAGCCTTGGAACATGTTTTCAATTGTATGTAATCATTTTTGTTTTCTGATTTCGATGCCTATGTTTCTGCTGTAGTGTTCAGCTTCAGAATTACGTAAAAACATTTAAATGAGTTCTTCGGAACTGAAGAGAAATGTTTTCATTTATTTCATTAAAAAGCTTTGCAAAATTCTTTTTTTTTCCCCTCCTTATTTTTATGGGATCCCTATGAATTTCCAAAAGACGACAAATTCAATTTTGGTATGGCTTTTAATGCCCTTCATGCGGCAGAGGTTCAGGGCGCAAATGCTTAGTGAGAGACAGTCCACATCCTAAGTAGTTTGTCTTAATGCGTGTATTCTAATGTGGCTAGCTACTGTATACACTAGCAAATAGATATTCAAAATGGCTACTTAGGTTTACAACTATGAGTTGAGATATGTTATTTTATGGAGAGGCTGCAGAATTCTGTTGCGTTATCGGAAATAAGTTTTTCGGAGAGAGGGTTCAGGGTCAAGAAGTATCAGTGGAAGAAGTTTGGGCCAGGCTTTGGTAATGTCTGAATTTGAAAATGAGCTTGAAAGAGTTCAGCTTGATTAACTTTCTCCTAAGGAACATATTTTTGCTGCCTCCCGTTATTAGGAAGGGTTTGCTGTTTGATATTTGTGTTTTAGTGTTGATTTATACAAACACAAACTATTCTAAAATATTGTGGTTTTGAAACAGGAGTTCTTACTCTGGTTTTTTTGCTGTTTTCTATTGACTGTCTTTGTGGTAGTGAAAACATGATGGTAAGATTATTTAAGGGAGTTACGGCTTTGTTTTCTTTTCTTACATTGTCAAGCAGGACAGCAAGCTGTCTGTAGTGCTGAAAGCTTTTCTCTGATGTGCACCTGGAAATACCGCAAGAGGAATGTGAAAATGAAATAATTTAAAACATTTTTCAATCTGCCACAGTATGAAAGTTCCTCTTTTAAGAAAGCAGACTTTAAATTCAGCAAGCTTTTAAGTTAAATTTTGGCTTCATCATTGTTTTGATACTAACTGTTACACTCTGAGTATAACCTATAGTTGTTTCTTTCTGTTTGATTTGTAACAAAAGTTTTTCTGGTGAACAGAGCACAACAAATAGTGATTCACTAAGATGTGAAGAATGTATGTTGAGGAATGTGTATTTATGTATGTTTAGAGGTTGTTTTAAGTTCAGCACTGAAGGCTCAGCAAGTTCCTCGAGGTGAAAATATTTTTAGTTACAGTAATATAAATGCGATCAACTCATGCTCCTGATTAAGGGCCTGTTGTTAATTCTCTCCCAAATGGTCAAAATTTGCAGTTATTAACTGCAAGTTTTCCCTCTTTTACGTGGTTTCTGCAGGGTCTACTGAAGTGCAATATTCTGCTATAGTTAGCTTTGAAATACATTTGGATTAAGGATAATAACTAGCTAAGGAAGAGTTTTGTGTTTGTTTTCTAATTTACATAAATAAAAATTAGAGAAATCAATTAAAGCCC